CTTGCCCCCCCGGCCCCGGCCTGGGTTAACGGCCTGCGGTCCCTCCGCCAGCTCCCCCCAGGCCCCGCCAACACGCGTCGGCCCCCGCTTCTCCTTCCCCGGGGGACAGAAAAGCTCACGGGAACGGCCCTCGCGGCCGTCAACAGCTTTTATTGCGGGCGCGTTCGGGCATGGCGGAGACGCTGCGGTAAGCCGGGGGTGCTCAGTAACTACCCCCGCTGTCTCGTGCAGAAACCTGAAGGGAAGTATTCAGGATGGGGTCAGCTACATGGGAAACTTCCTGGAGAAGCTGGCGCCCCTCAACAGAGGCCTCCAGCCCCGGCTCTACCACGACTCGGACAGCCTGCGGAAGCTCATCAGGAAAGAGCTGGAGAGCCTGAGGGTGAAACTGTCCCCCTACGTGGACGAGGTCCACCACAAGGTCGGCAAGCACCTGGAAGATCTTCGCCACCGGCTGCAGCCGTTCACGGAGGAGCTCCTGGACCAGGTGTCCCTGAAAGCCCGGGAGCTCCGGCGGCACCTTATGCCCAGCCGGGAGGCGACGGCTCAGCTCCTGGAGGGCGCGGACGAGGTCCAGAGGTTCATGGCTCAGTACGCCGACAAGATCGCGTTCCACACCGGCCAGGTGAAGGACATTTTCCGCCCCTACGCGGACAGGCTGGTGACCGAGATCCACCGCAACGTGGAGGAGCTGCACAGAAACGTCGTCCCTCACGCCCAGGCCAGCCCGGAGCAGCTCAACCGGTACATCCAGGAGCTCTCCGCGAAGCTGACCCAGAACGCGAGGCACCTCCACCAGAAGATCCAGGGCAACCTGGAGCAGCTCCAGGCGAAGCTGAGAGGCGGGGGGCGGCCGCCGGCCCCCCCGGACCGCTACGCGGAGGAGCTGGCCCGGGAGGTGCAGCGGCGGGTGGAGGAGTTCCGGAGGGACACGTACCTCCAGATCCAGGACTTCACCCGCGCCCTCGACCAGGAGACGGAGGAGATGAGGCTGAAGCTCTCCTCCCTGCCCTCCC